AAGTGAAAAAATTTTGGTATGTAAAATATATGTGATTATTTTTATGTGATAATTTTTTAAAATTTTATGTGAAAAATGTAACTATTATTTTAGAAGTTGATTTTAAAAATTTATACTATTATTTTAATTATTTTAGAAGTTGATTTTTTAATTTTTTTAAAAAGAATTTTAGTTCTCACTCAATTGCATAAAACTTCATGTATTGTTCTAATTTCTTTAACAATACTCCCTTTGTGTTTGGATTTGATCTTCTCAATTAACTTTTCTTGTCAATTTTGTATACTTAAACACCAATATACAGAACAAACTTTGTCTTTCGGTAGAAATACATTACAAATATCTTCTTTTTGAAACTAAGAAATCTCTTAATATTTGGTGACTCCTATTTTGGAGAAAAAAATGTATTTTTATTACAATATTTTCTCCATGTTTATTCTTATTCTGGTACTGAGTAATTTTTTCCAAAAAATTATAGCAACACTGTACATAAGACATATACTCCGTATACAACTTAAATTGGATCTACTCATATTTTGATTAAAATTGCCACGTCATTCAATCGTTAATAGGTGGCCGGTGATCTGTTAAAATGTTGCCATGTAGATTCGTCACTTTTTGCAATTCTAGAAGATTAACTCTCAAATTTAATATGTAAAGATTCAGAAATATTTACCAAACTTTTAATTTCATATTTTCCACATCAAAATCTATGTGACATATTAGGTGTTAAAAAGAGGCTCATGAGTAAGCCACATGTCAGTTCTTAATTACCCGAGTCTCATTTTTATACATTTAGGAAAAGATAAAAAAATTGCATATTTTTTCTAATTTTTTTATGTTCATTATATTTATATATTTGGCTAATTTTAAACATATTCTGTTTGTATGAGAATAATATTAAATATAAACTAATCATTATTAAAATTGTACATTTTTCCTAAAAAAATTTACTTTTTTAAATCTGCACTAAGTTAAAATTTATACTGAAAAAATATATTTTAAATTAACTAATCATATATTTGTGTTCAACTTTTTCTTCTTTCTAAAGAATATTTTGATCTAGTTTTTAAATATTATATTAAATGTATGTGAAATTAATATATAGGTGAAGTGTGTATCTTAGCTACCATTATAAGTTACGTTGTAAATGAAAAGAAAATTTTATTCGTTTTAAGTTCAGTAGTCAATATAATTTTTGAAGAAATATGTGAAATTTTATTCGTTACGGAGTATTTTTTACATTAAATAAAGTTATTATAATAATAATTAGATCAAAATTTTATTACTAAATGTAAAAAGTTCTCATTTTTAATTTGTTTTAGTTTGTTTTGATTTATTTTTTTTTTATAAAAATGATTTAATATCCTTTTTATTCAATTGACTAATTTTTAAGCTTAATTGGAGTCCGAGCAAAATATTATGGTAAAAATTTTACTGAAAATTTTGTTAGTTAAAAAAGAAACTTTTCTTTTTTCCATTAATAATTTTTATTTTATGCAATATTAATTTATGTTTCACTAAATTTATTAAGTTACATAATTTCTTTTATTATATCATAAATTAGTTGAAGGAAAGTTCGATTCAATTCTCTTGATGACATGGCTGATTAGGTGTCAAAAAACATTCTAGTCATCACGCCAAATGTCGCAATTCTGAGAGTCCAACTCTCAAATATTATATATAAAGGATTATGTGCGGTAATAGAACATACTTAGTCATATTCATAAGATGTAATTATGCATGCGTACGTACGTGATAGCAAGCACCGCAACCAGCACCGTTCTTGAAAAGACGTCTAGAGACGGCGCAAACCTCACCGTTGTTGGCACTTCTTCCGTCTTCTCCATACCCACATGCTCCACCTAACATAAATATACAAAGAATAATACTCAATCCGTTTCACAAAATCTTTCTTCTTTCGTTTTTTTACTTTCCACAAAACACTTCCACTTTTTATTAAAAACCACTTTTACCCCTACTTTTTCATACCCTACCTATCACATCATACTTTTTCACTAATAACCAAACTATCGCATCTTACTTTTTCCCATCACATCAGGAGCAAAATTGGAAAGTCAACCAAAATTATACTTTCCTTATTTTTCCCCAAAGTCAAAACCGGAAGGGTTTTGTGGAACAGAGGGAGTATATTCTTGAGTCCTGCTAGTGCTAGCTAGATAATCATTACTGATGACAATCATTTGTGACTTCGTACTCACATTCGATAATCGTTTCGACAGAATTGACAAACGATTATCCCCTACGTGAATAAATTTACAGATGATTGTCATCCGTGATATCAACTGCAGTGTGTTTCTAGCATTTTTTTTGTATATTCTTCTGCCTTTTCAAATCAATGTTCCTATCACAATTTTCGAGATATGATGAAAATTATTTAAATTTGATCTATTTAGTTATGAGTACAAAATTTAAAAAAAAAATACTCCCTCTGTTTGGAAAAAGCCTTCCCATTTTGACTATAAGGCAAAATAAGGAAGTGTAAAAAATACTCCCTCCGTTTAGCTTAATTTAATAAACACTATAAGAGTATAAAATCCTCCAGCAGAGCGTACAACCAAAAATCTTGAACTTTTGGTTGAGTTGATTCCTCTGACACGGGTATCGCTGCCACCCAATTTTTTTAAAAAATTTATAGGAGAATTTACATAAATAATACTAAAACGTAATAACTTTTCCTAAATAACATCACATGCATGTATTTTTTTCCAATGTAGTACTTTTAGTCATTATTCAAGTAAATGTTCGTCATCACTGGACATTATTAAGTTCTATTTAGGGAATAAAACAATTTAAGTGCAATTTAGAAAAATGACTTAAATTTTATTGCTATTTAGTGCAAATATTTCAAATTAATATTCACAGGAACGGCTCCGAAAAACGGCAGAGGTGTTCTAGAGAATAAAAATTTTCTAAAGCGTAGAAATACAATTTTTGTTCAGTGTTTTTTTTTGACAAATACTACGTAATAATAATGAGGTGATAATCGATCATATACAATTGGATTATGCTATGTGTACCCCAAGATTTGTACACATTAATACATTAATACATACTTGGGTTCCCCATTTCGTCTTGGGTTTTGTAATAAGACGCCCTTGAAGAGAAGTTTCGCTGGCAGTGGCAAAATGCAGTGAAGAGATAAATGGAGTACGCTATGATGAAAATATTAGTAAAATATTTCATCTTCTCGCTAGTTTAAGTTTTTTTTTAATAAATTAAAATATCTCAGCTCTCTCGATTATTGAGGATATTGCATTCAAATGTATATAATGCCGTTTTCATTAAACAACATTTTTTGGGAATTGGAATGGCTTTAATATATATATATATACTATATATATATATATATATATATATATATATATATATATATATATATATATATATATATATATATATATATATATATATATATATATATATATATATATATATATATATATATATATATATATATATATATATATATATATATATATATATATATATATATAATATATATATATATATATATATATATATATATATTGACACACACTCTGATCCCTCCGTTCTTGAAAGCACTTTCGGCTTAATTTTTTTGCGCACCCCATGAAATACTTTTATTATATCTAAAATGTCTAAAATACATTTAAAATAATTTGTATCCATAATAAACTATATAATTGGATGTATTTTAGGTAAATTAGTAAAAGATGCATGGTACTCCTACTTTCTCTATCTAAACTTAATACATGCATTTTGTAACACCACTGCACAAGTCTCGCACCCTTCTCTTAACTAACCCATCCTTAAATCGAAAAACAAGTGTTCTGTATGTAACCAATGGGAAAGCTACACGTGCATATATATTTAGTCTTGAAAATGGGTGCTCGTAAACTTGTTTGGATTTATTATCTTAAAAAAAAATCTACTCGTTACTCCTAAAGACTAAAAATTGTATCCTAAAATGTACCATAAAGTTTACGCTTACATTTTATGTTAATATAAGTGCGAGTTTGATGACTTACTTACATTTATACAAAATGTCAGTGTAGAATTTTACAATCATACTAACATTTTGTGTCAATATAAGTTATTAATTAAAATATAAATATAAATTTTTGAGGTATATTTTGAAGTACAACGTACTCCCTCCGTCCCAAAAAGTCTTTCCTGTTTGATTTTTTGTGCATCCTATAAAACACTTCTACCGACATCTAAAATGCCTAAAATTTACAACATTTCTTCTTAATTGTGGGTAGAACTTATATTGAAAGTTTTTTTGGCATTCAAGACGGGATAGAAGTGTTTTATGAGATGCGCAAAAAATGAAACAGGAAAGATTTTTTGGGACGGAGGGAGTATAATATTTGGGGAACACCTAACATGGTTGGTTGATTTTTTTTAGCATCTAGCTATACTATCAGCCCTAATATAAAGAAACTGCCCTTTTAATTAAAGGTACTCATGCCTAGCCACAATTGCTAAAACACTAAATACCTTATGTCAACTAAAAAGGCCATGTTGTGCACTATTAAGTTATTATTCTGAAATGTTATGTAAAATTTATTAATTTAAAAAACAATATACTATATATATACGGAGTATAAAATTCTAAAACTATATCTACCATTTATTTCATTTTATTAATTTTTAAAAAAAATTTAAAACTTTTAATTTTAGAAATTCTGCATCTCTTATTTTAATCTTTAATAATTTCATCATTAAACTAACTTTTATTATTATTATTACATTCATGACCATTAATTTTGTATAGCACTTTCATTTTCTAAGTATAAATTATACCATTATGCATTTCCCCATTTTAGTTTCTTTTAATGTACATAATTATTTTATTATTTTAAAGAAGGTTATATAAGTTTCATTTTTTAAGAAAACAAAGTTCTATACGGAGTACACCCTCCGCTCCACAAAACCTGTTTCTTTTATTTTTTTCATCCGTCCCAAAAAATCTTTCTAATTTCTATTAAAAAGTTACTTTTATCCCTACTAATCATTAATTAATCATATTCTACTTTTACCCATCACATCCAATAATATTTTTGGAAAATCAACACTAAAATACACTCCTCTTAGATTATTTAAAAATCAAACTAGAAATATTTTATTGGGGGGGGGGGGGAATATAATCTTATTAAACTACTTA